CATCTCTCCAGCCCCACTCTGAAGAGTTTTCATACCAGATGCACACATAGGCTCCAGCGGGTACCTGCACTCTCGTGTGGGAAACAGATGGGCTGGAGGGTTTGGCCTGAGTAAGAATTAAAGGGGTGGTGGGCAGGACCTGGCCCTAAGGTTTTACACAGGAGGCCCCTGGAACTCCTGCCACCGCTCTGGGAGAGAACTCGGCAGCCTTGGAAGCCTTTCCTCTAACTCAGGCCCCTGAGTCTGTTGCTTCTCTGCTGCTTCCGTACTGGGTGACTGGGTATCCTGGCTGCCACGGGCACCCAGAGGTCCCACTCTCTTTGCCTACTGGGCCCCAATCCCTCTTCTCCACCTGCAGGCAGACCAGCCTTCAGGAGCGAATGGCCGGCTCAGCCGGAATGGCAGCCCTGGCCAACGACATCCTTGCATCGCTGTCCCGCCAGAAGCTGGACCACGTGTGGACTGACACGCACTACGTGGGGCTGCAGTTTCCAGATCTGTGAGTGCAGAGAGGGGTGCACTAGGAAGGCTTAGGTAGGGAACACATGTGGCGGGAAAGCTCACCACCCATGCTCCTCAGGGCTCACCCCAACACCTTGCACTGGGTCGATGAGGATGGGACGGTTGGGGAGCAGCTTCTGCTGGAGGACCCTGATGCCTACTGTCCCTATAGTGCCATTGGCAATGTCACGGTGAGCACCTCCCATCTTTGCCCCAGTCTCAGCAGAGGGAGTGGGCAGTGCCACATGGGCCTGTCTCATTCCCCAGGGAAAGCTGGTGTACGCCCACTATGGGCGGCCGGAGGACCTGCAGGAGCTGAGGGCCCTTGGTGTGGAGCCTGCAGGCTGCCTACTGCTGGTGCGCGTGGGGAAGACCAGCTTTGCTCAGAAGGTACCTCAGGATGGGAAATGCTTTTTTCCTAGGAAAAAAAGGAAAAGATCTGGCAGATTGTAAAAAAAAATGTTGGTAGAAGCCAGGTATGCAAGGGTTGTGCAATCCAGTTATCCCAGCACTAGGAAGGCTTAGGTAGGAGGATCCCTGTAAGTTCAAGGCCAGCCTGGGCTACCCAGTGAAAACCTGTCTCAAAAAAAAAAA